CCCCTCGACCCGATTCCCCATAAAGATTCAATCCCCTATACACTCTAGTCGCTCCCGTTCATGGCTGCGTGCCGGGGTGGGGGAAAACAAGCTGTATAACGACGTAAAATTCGAAGCTTGTATGCAGGAATATGTCAAGTTTAAAAATCGGTAAGCTATTGCATTTATTTGTTTTCTTTTCTCAGTAATAGAGCGATAAATTATTTTATAGTATTTCATAAATAATAAAGAGAACGGCTGAATTGAAACTCGTGCTAGTTGTTGCCCCTTTGCATTCAACACGCTTCTACATTGCTTTTGTAGTATGGTAGGCAAGAAGGCAATGAACGATATTCTATATACTGTGCTTCGAAAGTTACCACATTCTCGTTCAAGGTTTGCGTGAAGGGGATCAGAAAATAATTGTCACAATTCTTGTGTATACGCGTTCTGCTGCGTATGTAAATATTTCACAATGGGCGGCACATTCGGCTGTTTTATCGAATCTATCGGTTATAACTAGAGTGCGGATGTTTATGCATTTCAGATATGTTAGAATATGTAAATGAAATATACAAAATATAGAAATATAAAATGTATCACCTGTATGCAAAGAACATGTAAAATATGCAATATTCTATAATAATGAAATCGTTGTTAACTATACACTATGATTATAATTCGCAGTACATAGTTAATTAGATCTTTAGTAATTGAAACTGATTTATAATTTAACATATATTCATTGTTTCACATGACACAACATTAACACTACATCATAAAATTTGTAATATAGTTGATAAAATAAATTTTGTACACACTACCATATGTTTTTCAAGAAGGAATATGCAAAACATGAAATATATAGAATATGCAAAATGAATAATATATGCTTAATATTGCCTAGAGATAAACAAATCCATAGCTCACTTTATTGTCAATATTCCATGAAAATTTGCATAAATATCTGCAATCTGCTTATAACAACTGTCAAATTTTATGATGTTGAAAGCTATGGTTAAAATAACATTACATTTGTTTATATTTTAATCTTTCCATATAAGCTTTATCTGTAATAATTTAAGTTTTGCAGTTATTTTTGATATTTTGATTTTCTTTTCCAAATTTATTAATTATCTTTTGCATCATATTTTCTTCATAAAAGATTTTAATAATAATGCAATATTTTACGTGTTTCTGTTAGGTACATTCTACTTTATAATACATTGTAGTTAGCATGAATGTTTAATGTTCTCTTTATCAATATCTTCTAAAAGATATTTTATTATATATTTCATTTTGTATATAAATTCTATTATTAAAAGTATATATCAATAATATTAAAATATATTTAATTTATGATTGTATTTAAAGTACATATATAATTTATATACATTTTTAGCATCAAAGTTTAGTATAGTTTAACATTTCTTGAATATATTTCGTTTAAGAAAAGTTTTAACTTTAAACTGATCTTTATCATTTTTATTTTATCTTCTGTATCTCCTATTCTGTAATTATATAATTATATATATATATTGAAATTTATAAATAATATTGCATTAATAATATATATAATATATAATTAATAATTTTCATTGCTTTATATTAATTTATAGTTGTCTTTATTACTTTTAAAGTCGATAATTTGATAACTTTTATATAAAAAGCAAAGTAGACTTTATTCAAAGAAAATAATTGCATGTATTTTATATCTGTTCTTTATAAATACTTTAGTTTATTATTTATATATAAAATTTTACATAATATCTTTGAAAAACTCAAAAATATATGTGTTTGTGTATTACATAAAATTTACTAATTATAAAAATATATCAAGAGCATTTAATTTAGCAGCTATTAGTTATATTAACAAAATTCCAGAAATAGTACTAATATAAAATAACTCTCAGTATGCTACTTAATAAATAAATGTCTTTTTTCCTTTTTTGGTAAATTATATATATATATTTTTAAGTAAACTTACAATAAAATTAAGTAATAATGTAGTATAATATTTTTCTGATAGTATATCTAAATATTGTATTTTACAATATATATGATGTCAAGTTAATGATTGTTTCATTTTTTTCTAAAGTGTTGGTAATGCACTTGCTTGCCCTACCCTTGAGAACGATGGACTCTGAGCAAAGAAATCAGCAGGTATATCAACACTAAACAAAAAGCTAAAGAATGAATGCCTGCTGCACTCACGCTGCCGACACAGAACAAGCAGATTTAATATTTATGCAAATAGTGTGTGAGTAGCAGCTACTCACGCCACACTCAGACGTATATATCCATTTTCGCACATGGCAGCCATGAAGCATGGTACGTTTTATTCTTGTATGCTTTGCTTTGTATGTAAATTTGTTTAAATGTCTATATTACTATAGTTTATTAAAAAAGAATTAATTGATATACCTTTAAACTATATTTCTAAACATATATTCATTATATTTGAAAATATATGATAATAATGAATTACCAAAAAAAATTAAATAACATTTTACATAAATATATGTATGAAATATGTTATATAATGTTTTTCAGTTTCAATACAACTAACAAATTATACTTGCTGACAGATATTAAAATCTTATATGTGTAGTATTTTAAATAAATTAAAGTAATTTATAAAAAGGAATTGTAAAAATATATAAAAGGCATAATATAAATAAATTCCAAACACAAATGTATTCTTTATTTTACATTTCACATTATTTTGTAACAAATTGCTTTAAATAGTTTATCTAAAATTAATATTTTAGTATATTATAATTGGAGATTATTAAGAGATAACAGTTATCTGCACTATTAATGTATTTTGTAATCTAAGGATTAGTTAATTTAGTAGATTCTGTATATATTAGATATTTTATCTTCTGAATCTAAGTAATTATGTTTCCCATTTTCAATTGTTATTATTATTATTAATAAATATATTATGTGGTATATATATTAATATATAAACAATTTATGTCTTATTTAATTTTTATACTTAAGTGTTAAAATAAATATCCAAATTTTAATTCTGTGATCTGATTTTTCTAAAAGCTTTTTTTTACAATAACTTTAAATTTGAATTAGGATTATTATAATCAAATTTTTATATTTCAATTGAAAATATATAATATTTAAAAAATTCATTATTGTGACAATTTTCAGGCAAGACAAGTCAAGACGACGTATGTTATGTTGTCGCCAAATACGACTATGGAGCACAAGGTGCTCAGGAGTTAGATTTACGGAAAAATGAACGATACTTGCTTCTCGATGATTCAAAACACTGGTGGAGAGTACAAAGTGCAAGAGGACAAGCTGGCTATGTGCCAAGTAACTATGTCAAGAAGGAAAAGCCATCTCTTTTTGACAGTATTAAAAAGAAAGTCAAAAAGGGCTCTGGCTCAAAAACTCTACCATCCAGTAATTCACCATCCAGAGCCGTAGAATCTCCTATTATGGCTAGGCGTTTACCTGCTGATCCAAGTGAAGCAATAGGTACAGCAGTTGTCAAGTACAATTACCAAGCACAACAAGCAGATGAATTGTCACTCGTCAAAGGCACTAGAATCTTAATATTAGAAAAAAGTAATGATGGTTGGTGGAGGGGTCAAAGTGGTACACAAGCAGGATGGTTTCCATCAAATTATACTCACGAAGAAGGAGATGCAGATGATACACTTCATACGTATGCAATGGCAGAAAATGTTCTTGATATTGTTGTTGCACTTTATTCATTTTCTTCCAACAATGATCAAGAATTATCCTTTGAGAAAGGTGATCGTTTGGAAATCCTTGACCGTCCACCAGCAGATCCTGAATGGTATAAAGCAAGAAACAGTCAAGGTCAAATAGGTCTAGTGCCACGTAATTATCTTCAAGAATTGAGTGAATATTTGACACAACCATATCGTGAGAGAGGAATGACAAGTAGTGAGATTAGTACAGGAGACTCCCTTGAAAGAAGGCCAGATCCTGGTGATAGACCACATCTTGTTGGAAAACCTTGGTACTATGGTAGCATTTCACGTTCGCAATGTGACACGTTATTGAATCAACATGGTCATGATGGTGACTTTTTAATTAGAGATAGTGAAACTAATGTAAGTACAAATAAAGATAATTTAATTAATACGATTCTTATATATTTAAATTAGTTTATTTGAAATATCATCTTGCTGATAATAACAAACAATACATTATGATAATCTTTTAAATATAATAAAATGTTTAATTTAAATTATGCAATAAACATTAAATAAAAATATTATAACATTTATATAGGTGGGAGATTATTCAGTATCTTTAAAAGCTCCAGGACGTAACAAACACTTTAGGGTACATGTGGAAGGAGCGTTATATTGTATTGGTCAAAGAAAATTCCATACACTAGACCAATTAGTAGACCATTATCAACGAGCGCCTATTTATACTAACAAGCAGGGTGAGAAATTGTATTTGGTGCGCCCATTGCCAAAAGGCAACCCCAGTAGTAATGGTTGCTAGGTAAATTCGTGCCATGAAAGAGCGGTCCATGCGCTTTCGAATGTATCTTTAAGATACGCAATGCCTGCCTAGTAATATCAATATCACACATCTCGTATGTTTATACATAACAATTAATATAATTGGTGAACTCGTATATTAGTGTTTCTTGATTGTTTGTCCATTTACACTGATAAATAATTTATTACTCTAAGTAATTACCACCAACAGTTCTTATCATTCATTGGAGCTTCCATACTATTTAGCAAACAAAGCTAAGAGAAACGAAACATTTGTACGGCAGCTATATGACAATTGACTAGTTGACACAAGGCTTCTCTTTATATCCATATGTAATTGTAAAACACGACCGATCATGTTATTACAATTAATAATATATTTACAACTACACGTAATGTAGACTGCAAATATAATGATCAAATAACGGTTAATTATCATGCAATTATGACCGGTTAAGTGGATCTCTACTCTGAATCTATTGGTATTGAATTATGACAAAGACTAAGTGTTCATTTGTGATTTTGTATTTATTAGAAATTTTTAAGTAAATAAACTATATTTAAGTGTGCATCAGGTAAAATGTAGTTGTTTTTCAATCCTTTATTTATTATGCGTATAATTATTACGGCATATTTTTAAAAATTAAATTTTCTCTGCTGTATTTACATATTAGATATGTTTTCACCGATAAACATGATTTAATTTAGAAATATTTAAAAATTTTGTTCCTAATATTTAAAATATGTACATGTTTTATTATATTAAAATTAAACGGATTTTTATATATGTACAAATTTTATATATACAAACATAATTTATAACAAGACACAGTGAAATGAAATTAAATTGAATTGTATCAAGGGATGACTTTACTAGACATAATACACGATTGGTAACAAATATTAATCTTTATTTAACGTGTATATTATATTCATAAATAAAAGTATTATTTTTTTTTGTTATATGAATAAGAGATTGGTGCTCCTGTAGATAAAAGTTAATGGCACTAATTGCCAATAAGGTCACATATATAAACAATTGCCCTAAACTAAACATATTTTAGGTCTATATTATTTGTTCGTAATTCCATTAAAAACTTATGCTTATATAATCATAAGAAAGGATTGTTCGAATTTCTTGTCATGTTGCTCACGCCAGAACCAACCTAAAAAGACTTATATATTTAGATGTACAAAGATATATATATATATGAGTATAATTTATAAAATTAAAACGAAAATATTATATTCATACCATGAATGGATTTGCATGATATGCTGGAAGAGTTGGTTGCCATACTTTATTTGTCATTAATTGACTAAACTGAATTACATCTCTGTTACTAGATGGTCCGATACCTACCCACTGCGGATCTAAAATATTTATATTTTTTAATTTATTTCACATGTTAAATATATTGAATGTTACATTCTTTAAATAAGAACTTACCATTATTCATAGGAAATTGTACTGGTTTAAAAGGATTAATAGGATTATATAGCGAGGTATCAATTGATTGTGTATTATTATTAACTACATTAGATGGTCGCCATAAATCACCAGTTGCAAATGGATTTGAAATTACATTTGTAGTTTGATTTCCTACACTCCAGAGTGAATTCGAAGCTATGATAAGAATAATAAAATAATTTTGTAAAATTAATTTTAAAAATTAAAGATTTAATGATATATATAAATGCATATACCATTATTAGTATTCCATGTGGATGTATTTAATGTTGTTGTAGTATCATCTTTCAATTGTATTTGTTTCATTAGAGAATCTAAGTCTTTCAGTGCCGCATAACGATCTTCTGATGGAGGTACATGTGCACCATTTGCATTCATTGAATTAGTCACATTTCCTGTAGTCTGACTAAATGGACTTAAGGATTCAATATCTAGACACACACAGAAGATCAATTATTAATATAATAATGATATTGTATTAATTTGTAAAAACAGAAATGTAAAATATTAATTCAATTTACTTGTATCTTTTTGGCTATCAAAAACAGGATTGTTGTCAAAATTGGCAAAGAATGACTGAGGTACAATAGGTTGACTGAGTTTATTTGCAGGTGTTGTAGTAGTAATAAATGGATCAGGAACTTTGCTGAAATCAGCTACAAAATCTGTTGAAAAGTTATTAAAATTAACTGATTCAACATTGTTTGTTTTCGAAGCTGATGTAGATGTTGTAGAAGATAATGTTGTAGTAGATGTTCCAGAATGTGGAACCCTTGGAATGTTAGTTTGATTAGATGACTGTGATTTTTGATTTGAGTTCTGATTTGCCATGGACGGATCCAAATAATATCTTTTAAGCTCATATTTTGCACTCATTAGATCTTTCATCTTTTGTTCATCTTTTGTATCTAAAGTCTGTGATGAATTTTGGTTCATCAAGCCTAACCATATTCTTCTACAATATTCATTACCACGTTCCTTTATAAAATCTATTTCCTCTTGAGTAAATGTTGCCATAGAAATAGATTTTACTCTATGTGGTGGTGTCAAGCCCCTCCTGTAATTTAAAAAAAATTAGTAATATAAATTTCTTCCTATTACATTTTATATATACTAATTGATCAAATTATTATAATTTGTAACATTAAAATAACATAATTAGGTCATCCTTTAAATATTATATTTCTTTTGTATTAATAATTACTTTCTACTAACTAAATCTTCTATTCCTCTTTTATAAAATCATGTTATAATTCTATCCAATTCTATTGTTCTATGTATAGAAAATGTATGATATTCTTATGCATTTAATAATGGGTAAAAATAATCTAAATTGGCATAGAATAAAAACACTAAAATTTCACTGAAACTTGTAACAATGTAATTTATAAATAATATATTCATACTGAATATTATTATAATAAAAAATATTTATTGTGTATATTAAACATTATTTGTAATATTTAATAATTTATCTATTCTTTCCATTGCCAGTCAGGCTAATTAATATAATATATATTATGGACTCTATAAAATAGCTAATGATATTCTATATTATTTATGAATAGAACACATTTTGACCATTGATAACAACTACTACGCACAAAGAAAACACTGATACCGATAGTATATATTAACTTCCTGACCGCAAATGCGAGCATTTAACAAAGATCCACAATCTCCTATTCATCATAGTAAAATACATTCATCACACGTGTTTCAACAAAACCTATTACTGATGCATTTACAAATAAGAATATATTTTATTTTTCATTAAATGCGAAACTGAACCTACCTAATATATTCGAAATGTTGACATTTATTCAGTGATAATTATAATTATTTGATCGTTAAATATTATGTAAAGCATTTGTAAAGTACATTTTGGTCAGTTCTATTCATAATATGATAAAATAATGAAGTAAAACAACAGTTACGTCATTTTTTTATAAGGAAGAAGAACTTGGTACACTTTATTGGCTTCTTACAAGTAACGAGTACTTACAGCATACCAGAACAAGAGGTACAGACGAATGAACCGATTGTCATGTTGACGTAAGTTGGGCCTCGCTGATGGCAATCGAAACATTCTTTATTACCAGGTTGTGAGACCAGCTCGCGTAATATTTTCAAATTTTTCTCGTCTTGCTTTCTTTTCGCGGACGCCATCATATACGAGAATGCACTTTATAACTATAAACGGAACACGGGAGATACACAAGACACAACTCTCGCGCTCTGCTTGCGGAACTGACTCAATTTTCTGTCACGACAGTCGTGCGTGTTCCGTAACGCATTCTAAAAATGTTTCAGAAACATGAAACGCGGAATAATAATAATATATTTGCAATGATTTTTTTTATGGTTGATTTTCACTCGTTAGCAGTCCTTATTTTCATGTAAGTTTCTCTCGCGCATTTTTCTTTTTCAAATAGAATATTTTATTAATAATTTTGCATTTGTTTTTGTTATAGATGCTTTTGTTTTGTAATTAATTTTCTATATAAGTACACATTCATATAAACATTCAAAGTCTAATTATGACGTTTGTCGAATTATATAGTATATAAAGCTATAGTTAAACTAGCATTACGTTTATGCTTTTTATGCAAGTTTCTACTGTATTTTTCGTTTTCAAGTAAAATATTTTACAATAATTTTTTAATTTAATTCTTTTATAGATGTTTTTATTTCTCTTACAAATTTCAAAATAAAATTCAAATTATATCATAAATTATATTATATAGTGATAGTATCGCTATACTAGTACAATAGGTATATATATATGAAGATACTAAATATATACTATAAATATTATATAGAAGATAGATCACTAACGCTATCAGTATTATTACTATATACATTACAATTATTAACCATATTATAAAAACGGAATAAAAGGAAATGTATATAGTTTAATGTATTGTATTATTATATATCTTTCATAGCATACAAATATTTTCATATAATATTACATATTTTTAAAATATTTACATCATGTTCGTTCAGAAATAAAACGTATAAATATGACCCCAAATATTTGCGCAGAAAGACACTTCCATCTCTAATTTAATAATAGATAAGGAACAATATAATTATTGAAAGAATTTAATTACAATTAAAATCCTAATTAAAACTCCTTTAAAATATTTTATTTTAATAAATTTCAATTAGAAAATTGGAAATATGTTATTAAATACTTGGAAATACAATTACATAATTCAAAAATTTTCCATCTCAGATAACCTTAAAATGAATTAGGAATAAACCTACTTATAGCTACTTCTTGGTTTCTATTTTAAGTCAGAGATAGTAAATAACTTCTACGTGCCAATTACATAGAAGATTTGATTGTAGTGTAAGTAAAATTAACTATTTAAAAGAACACAGTCAAGGTTAATGCGCGTATGCGTACACGAGGATTAGAGGAGAGTTGTTTATTATTTCAATTGTTACCTTAATTGTTTTATATTCTACTAAAGAATTTTTTAATAATACATAATCATGTTATTGAGGTAACTAGAAATAATTGTTGCCATATGGTCATTAAAGAATAAAATCAAGTTGAAAACCCATTGAATTGATTAATCTGAATAAGATGACATCTTTTGTAACAATCCCCACAAAAAGGTTTGCTTCTCTTGAATATAATTAATTTGTTCAACTATAATTAATCTTAAGTAAATATTATAATCAGTTTTTAACTGTATAGAGCTTCTCAGATCAGAAATGTACGACAAGGTAGTATTATTGATTTAGATATTGACATGTTTCTCAAGATATCAAATTATGAAGATACAGTCAGACAACTTGATATCTATTATGGAATTGGTAAGAATATTTATTTTCATATTATTCCATTGTATTATATTTATCTCATGTAGCAATAAAGTAAGTAGATTATATATAATTTTTAGTTAAAAGACAATTGTTACGTTATCAAAGTTGTATAACAGGTCTTTTCCCACAAGTTTCAAATGATAAAGTAGTTGGAAGTGTGAGAGAAAGTATTTACTGTGCGGCCGCTGTATGGAGTTTGTACCAAGCATATAGGTAATAAAGGATTAAGTTTGTCTAGTAATTATTATATTATGGTAAATAATATTATGTCTTTTAGACGTATAGATGATGATCGTGGAAAATCTTATGAACTTGGACAATCAGCTGTAAAATGTATGCGTGGGATTTTAGAATGTTGGGTGAAACAATCACCTAGAATAGAGTTATTTAAACGTAATCAGTGTAATCGCTTTGCATTGCATTGTAAATTTCATTTAGATACTGGTGATGAAATTTTTAAAGATGCCGATTACAATCATTTGCAAGTAATTATAGTACATAGTGAAATATGATAAGATAGAGTGATTTAAAATAATTATTATACCTATTTTATTTTTTGTAGATTGATATTGTTTCACTATATTTGATATTTTTAGTACAAATGATTTCTTCAGGATTGCAAATTATATATACTCAAGATGAAGTAGCATTTATACAAAATCTTGTATATTATGTGGAAAGAGCATATCGTACACCAGATTATGGCATGTGGGAACGTGGTAGTAGATATAATGATGGTACACCTGAAATACATGCAAGTTCAATTGGTATAGCCAAAAGTGCTCTTGAAGCTATTAATGGATGCAATTTATTTGGAGAAAAAGGAGCTTCTTGGTCAGTTATATATGTTGATATTGATGCACATAATCGAAATCGTAGTATTTTTGAAACAATGCTTCCAAGAGAGTCAAGTTCTAAGGTAAAAAATATACATATTATGTAAAAATGTACTATAATTTAAATTTTAATACATTGTACTATTTAGAGTGTAGACACAGCTTTACTACCAACAATATCTTTTCCTGCATTTGCCACTCACGAAGAAGTGTTGTATAATGAAACAAAGGCAAATATAATTCGAAGATTAAAAGGCAATTACGGATTTAAGAGGTTTGGCAGAGATGGATACAAAACCGTTATAGAAAGCAAAGATCGACGATATTACAAATCTGGTGAAATCAAGGTCTCTGATGTATTTGATTGTTAGTATATATTATTTTCAGAATGTGCTTAAATGGATTTATAATTTCTGTCTACATAATTACATTAACTTCTTTTAATAATTCTAGGATGGTATTAAAAAGATATTTTTTTGTTATAGGAATTTGATAATATAGAATGTGAATGGCCATTATTTTACATATTTATGATCATTGACGGCGTTTTTAAGACTTTGCCAGAACAAGTGGAAGAATATCAAAAATTATTAAAAGAACGAATGTACAAAGATATTAATGGAGGTATGTAGATAGAAAATAGATTTGGCTATAATGATATAAAATGTTATTGTATTCTGTTTAATTAAATAGATCCTGTAATACCTATGTATTACTATGTACCTGAGGATAGGTTAGAACTAGAAAGAAATGATCCTGGTAGTACATATCGAGTACCAAGTGCTGAAGGAAGAGGACAGAAAAGTTCTACAGATACAGAACCTGGACCCATGTATTTATGGAATCAAGCTATGTTTATAATTGCTCAACTACTCACTGCTGGTTTATTACATATTAATGAATTAGATCCAATTAGACGTTATCTTCCTTCATACAACAGACCACGAAAAGCTGGAAGATATTCAGCTTTTCAAGTAAGTCAGAGTACAATTTAATTAGTACATTTACTAAATTAATTAGTTGTAATAAATTATTTTGTACATGTTTGTTTCATGCAGGCAAAACCGAGTATTGTAAGTAAATGATACAAATAGTATACTGTATTTTGTAGTATTTTGTTTTAATATTTGCAGATTGATAGTAGCTTTATAATGTTATTTAAATAATATATGTATTTGAGCTTTCAAATTAAACAAATGATAATACATGCTTGAATCATGTAGCATATTGTAATATTGAATGTCTATTATTTGCTCAGATTAGTAACTGATTATTATATTAGTCCTCTATTATATATATATATACACACACTTTATTAATGTAAATATTTTTTAATTATAATGCATGAAGCTTGGATTAAGGCATGATTTATCTTAGTCGTTTTTTAAGATGCTTGTTTCTGTCATCTTCTTTTTCTCATTATTATTTCTTAACTGTACAATACACAGTTTATGCATTATTACATCATTACATTGTCTAATTTACAAATTTTTCTAAAAACTTCTAGTTTTCTTTTCATTTAACTGAACTCCTTTTTTAATTTTGAATGTATTAGGGAATGAAAAAATGTATTATATTAATAATTTTAGCGTTCTTGTCATATTATAATAATGCATGATTGACTTATTACAAAATTTCTCTATGTTAGGGAACTCATACTGATCTTGTAGTACAAATCGTTCTTATTGCTGAATCTATGCGATTACAAGCTATGATGGCAACATACGGTATACAAACACAAACACCACACGAAGTGGAACCAGTACAAATATTATCATCTACACAATTAGTAAAAGTTTATGAAAAATTGGGAGTGAATAATAAACTAAATCTGCAAGGCCGACCAGCAAGACCAATTGGGTCTTTGGGTACAAGTAAGGTATGTTCAATGTATAAAATAAAAATTGATTTAGAAAATTCAATATCACTTTTTTTATAGGTTTATAGAGTATGTGGTATGACAGTACTTTGTTATCCTCTAATATTTGAGGTGTCAGATTTTTACTTGTATAGAGATATGGCTCTATTAATCGATGACATAAAAACTGAACTTCAGTTTGTGGGCAAATATTGGCGACTTTCAGGTCGACCTACTATATGTCTTTTGATACGAGAAGAACATATGAGGTACTTGTTAATTTTTAAATTAATATGTTGAAATTGTAGTTTTTATATCACACTCATAAATAAAAAATTTCTTTGTTAGGGATCCACAATTTAAGGAAATGCTTGATCTTTTTGCTATGTTAAAAAAAGGGTATTGTAACAAAACAAAAGTTCGAATTGGTCGGTTACAGAATCTCATTTCATCTTCATGCATTGGTATAATTAATATTTATACATTTTATTCTCTATCATTTAGTAAATATTAATGCAAATCTAATGTTGTGTAGAACATTTGGACTTTATAAATACTGTAGAGACAGATCTTGAACTTACCCAATTTAAGCAATTAAAACATGATTATATTGGATATCAAAGTTTAACTGATGTACCTAAAGCTTTAACTTATTCTGAAAATATAAAAGATTATTCTGTAAGTATCTATAAATAATAACTATATTTTTTTATTTATTCTAATTGCTTCGTGTTTTAGTATTATATGAATGAACCACTATATAATATCTTAAATGAAATTCGTAACAATAAAAGCTTATATACTTTGTGTCAACTTTATGGTATTTTATTGAAACGAGAAGGAATTAACTATGAAATTAATGGAATGACAGGTACTAATATAAATTGTTATTTAAAGATCATAGGTATATAGTGATATTTACTTTGATTAATATTTTATTTTAGTTGGAGATCAATTAAGATCATTGTATCAACAGGCAGGGTGTCTTAGATATTGGATGGTTGTTCGTTACTGTAGCAGTTTATTGAATCATACCGTTGATAGTATAAGTCCTTTTATAACAGGAGTTCTTGTTAAAGGAAAACAGGTACCTTTGTTAAATTGTTTGGATATTTATAGTGTGTAAATAAAGAATTTTTTATTCATCATTAATATCAGATAACAGTTGGAGTAATTGGACAAGAAGAAACTGTATTTGATAAACCAATGACACCTGTAGAAATCCAGTCAGTTATGTATTCAACAATTCAACCACATAATGTAGTTCAAGCAGTACTTCAACAAGAAGTATTATTGTACTGCGGTCGACTTATTGGAACAAATCCAGAAATGTTTAAAGGAATACTGAAAATTCGTATTGGGTGTGTTTTATGTGTCATCTTTAACATTAATATCTAGAATATTTAGAATAAGTATTATTAAATATTCTTCTTATTTATAGATGGGTCTTAGAAGCAATAAAACTTTACCTACAAATGTTTGTTAAAAATCCTAAACCAATTGAGAACTATAGTCCATTTGAGATTCGTCAATTCCTTATAAAAGTATTGACGGTTAAAGATTGGGCCAACAATGAAAAGTATAAATAATTTAATTTATTTCTCATACAGTACACATTTATTTATTATACATAAATTAATTTTATGTTGTATTAGGATTACAGTTTTAGGACGTAGAAAAATCGAAGGTTGTTTATGTAGAGTACCTGCACATTTTTATAATCATGTTTGGGAAGTATTAATGCGTTGTCCGGATGGTATTTGTGTTAATGGACGAGAATTGCCTCAACAACCTACGCTGTCTAATATGACTCGTTCCGAACTCACGTTTGCTTTGTTCGTGGAATCTTTACTTCACCATATACAATTGCCAGAATATCGCCAAATTATTGTAGAGGTATTCTTTTTTTACTTATACTTGATTTATTTTTCGATTTATGCAAGAGCATTATTATATTCACGAAAAAATATGCAATATGTATAAATATACAGCTCCTATTTTTACAGTTACTCACTATAGTGTCAACAATTTTACTTCGAAATCCAGAATTAAGTTTTCAGAAACAATTAAATCTTAACAAACTCGTCGAAGATAGTTTCCTCATGTATTGTAAGGTACATACATTCTGACTGTAATTTTACATATATTAGTTACAATTATATATGTAAATTCAATATTAAACATAAATTTGTTTAGGATAATAACGTGGAAAAAACTGTTGATCAATCGTTGTTTTTCTCTGCTCACTATTCAATAACTACAGGATATCTTGCTAGAGCTGTAGTAAATAATATGCTTACTGGAGGATGTTTCGCAACTATTAATGACATCAACGACGCAATTGAAACTAGAGAAACTTGTAAAATTACATAATGGAAAAAGTAATTCTTCAGTGCAATTGAATATTGTTTGTAAATACATTATATATAATCAGAAGTATATTTATATAAAAATATGGTATTTTCTTAATGTGTGTATATATATTCCCTTAGTCAAGAGAATTTGCTTTATATAAATAAAATACTGAAAATTATAAAAGATAGTAATTCTGTCGAAAAATCTGTATTCATATATCAATAAAATACATAATTATATGTTACACAGTATACATTTTTTAATACATCACATTTAGATTATAGTAATTTTTATAAATAATTCAATGAAATTTATAAAACTGTACAAACTTAACTGTATTATTTGAATTCACCTTTTAGCAAAATTTATATCCATTGCTCTTCCTGATCGTTGTATATTATTTATATTGGCTTTAATTCTAGAAGCAACAGTACTTATTTCTGCAGCGGCTGCTAACTGTTTTGTAACAAAATCTTGATTATACACTTTTCTACTATCTATTTCTTTCTTTTCTTCTATGCGATACTTTTTAACATTACGTTCTCGTTCTTCATCTCTCCATGTTGCATTTGCTATCATTTCTTGTCTACGTCGTTCTTTTTCTTCCTCTGTGAGATCCTGTTTCTTTTTAAAATTCCATTTATCTCGATTCTTATCTTTTTTGTAATACTTTCTATTTGTATCAGAAGATAATTTAGAATTAGTTTCTTTTTCATGTGATCTCTTTGAAAGATCTTTATGCTTATTCTCGGTATTGTATGTATTTTTATGAATACTGCTTCTCCTATTTTGAGGACTGCTTGAACGAAAATCTTTCTCTCTGTGTTTTCTTATCTCTCTATTGAATGACCTATCTCTTCTTTTTTTAATTGAGCTATCATTATTATCATTGTTTGAACTGCATGCTTTAACAAGTTTTTCATATGACTTATGCTTTCTTTCTTCTTCTTTATCAGGTATTAGATATTTTTCTTTACTATGTTTTATAACTTCAGTATTTTTTTCTTTACTTTTACTTCTCTTTTTCTTATGCTTTTTTATATGTTCATCATTTTCACTTCCTTCGTTACTACTTTCTGATTCACTATTGGAAGTTTCATTTTCTTTTCTAGACTTTTTCTTTCGTTTATGTTTCACCTTTTTCATTGACTTTATTAAATCTTTATTACTAATTTTATCCTTTAACTGTTTATATTTAGTAGTCAGTAATAGGTCAAGTTGTGCTTCATCATCACTATCAATATCTTGTTTGTTCTTCTTCTTTTTCTTTTCACTTTTACTTTTCTTTGACTGCTGTTCCAACTAAATAGTGGTTGATATTAATAAATAAATAATAAAATATTCTAATAAAATATTATAATAAGCCAATATTATCATTTACATACCAATTGTCGTAATTGCTTTAATTTAACTGGATTTTTTAGCAGTTGATTTCTTGTTTCCATCTCCTTCTTCTTTATAGCATATAAGGGGTCTTCTTGCATTTTTCTTGCTAAGTCCACTTGTTCATTACCAGAAAAGAAACGTAATGACGGAGGAATACATTCTGAAATTGCAGATAAGTTATGTATAAAACTTCTAACACTGCGCTATTCTTATACAAATTAACCCCTTGCCCTACAATCTAAGTTCCAACGGCACGTGCTATAATCATTGGCAGGGTCAGTCAGATGTCAAGCCATTTCACAGTCTAGCTAAGCGCTCGAAGTTGTGCAAGGTACAACTAATTTTATGTTGCAAAATGTTTGATAAATAATTACTACCAATTGATCATTGAACAAGATTTTTAAGGATATCTTTCTAATATTTTACAAGGAAATATATCTGCACTTGCGAATACGACCAAGAAACTCGTGTTTCTTGTGTTTGGCCCGAAGGATGTACCACGAGTCTAACTCAATGTTATAGGTTAAAGGATTAAAAACATTTAAAATATAAAATACCGTGTTCAACATGATTTCTTGGTGCTTGGTTTAATTCATTATCCTTTTCTGTTTGAACCATTTGTTCAAATGATTTATCAATTGGCCGTCCAAGTAAATATTCTTCTCTATTGACTAATTGATTTGGTCCTTTATACATCCAATCCAGCTTTTTGTCATCTTTCTTTTCTATTACTCCTTGCTCCATTGCGTATTTTTTCATATCCTCTCGATCTTTCTCCATTTCTATTTCTTTCTTTAATTCAGCTATTTTCTTTTTTTCTTGACTTTGTTGTTGCTCTGCTTTCCAAACTTTTTCTATATTTTTCATAGTAGATGGATGCCATGACTTCTTCAAATTCTATATTAACAAAATTTGCAGTTTTGTTAGATACAATATGTTTCTATTTATTTAATATAACACGTGCTTCTCCAACTTAAAATTTAATTTCAACTTACCAAATCTCCACCACCCATTTTTAGCAGATAATAAGACACGAGATGTATGTGTGAAAGAGATATACTTTTATATTATTCAAATTATATTATATATATTCCAAACATATTATTGCTATTTTTACCAACATTGATAAACAATATTAGTATTGCTGTACATTATACAACGATATAAAACGAGTAAATACTAAATATTTATGTATGATCTTAAAACATCACTAACATCTCTAGCGAACAATTGAAATTTCATGGCTACAAAGATGGTATTACTGAAGTCATGAGTTGTGAATATTCTTCTTGTAAGATGGTAAATCAAATATTACTTTTTACGCTTATTCAGAAGTTTTCTCAGTGGTCGAGTTTCATCATATTCTGGGATCTGACCTTGGAAATCAGAATGATTTAGACACTTGAAAATATCAAAGAATGACGTGGGTAATGTGACATAATAAAGTAAAGGTGAACAAAAAGTGTGCGTTTATTTAATTTAATTAAGAGTTTATCACATGTGATGAGTAGCGTACATGAAAATTCGTGGTCTTGGGTAGAATATTTGGTGGAAACGATCAATAAGCTTACCGATGACTTAGTGGGCTCAACAACGTTTGAGTTAATATTTCACCCGATCAACAGCATAATCAGCAATGAACTTCAACAAAAATTTTCCGATTTTTTTCACGAATTTATTGATTTGGTAGCATTTGACGATTTTCAGTTGCAATTGTTGAAAGTCTTCTTGTTTACATTTGTTAGTACCGTGGCCCTTATTTTCATCGTTTGGTATATTTACGGTCCAAGAATTTCCGAACAATTTATGGAACCAAGTAAGAAAATCATATTTTCGTTTTGATATGTATACGTATTCACGTTATTGTGTAGAACAGATTGTATGTATGTATATGCTTACAATAGTAAATATATCATTTTCAAAACATGTTTTAATAATACATATATAATTTTTTAAACATATTTTAATAATAAATATATAATTCTCGGAACATATTTTTCGATGACTATGCAATATACGCAGTATCTATTTATATGTCTGTTCTTCCTGTTGCTTTTAATCACGTAATAATAAAAGCATATTGTTAAGTATAAATTTTTGTCATTAATTTTACTGGATTTATTTTACTTTTATCTTGCAATAGCACACTTTTTATGATTACCAAATAGAACATTGAGGTCTTTTAAGTTCAATATGATTTTTGTGCATTTAAATCACAAAAACTTTTGTAAAAGACACAGTGTAAAAAATTTATTTAAATATTCACAGATATTGCTTTTAAGTTTATAAAATTAAATGTTCAAAAAGAAGTTAAAGGAGTTTTATTGTTTTCTCCTCCATTAATAAAAATCAATATAATTGCAAAAAAAACTGGGGTTATGAAAGACAATGGTATGCCATTGCAAGATTAAGTAAAAATTCTTTTATTTTTGTTGAAGATCAAGGGTAAAAGAGGTAAAAAAGAAATATTTTCTTCAGTATAATATTCAGTATATGTAATAAACAAATGGTATTAAATGATTAGGAAATTATTTGCTGTTAATTTATAGTATATATATAAAAGTTATTATGTCTAAAAATTGAAAATTTAAAAAATTCTTATCTTAATTCTAATAAAAAATATTGTTGTTAACACAGACTCTGTATCAAAAGATTTTGACAGTTCATCTGGTGAATAATTTGTTGGTTAGTAAGTATAAATTATTTTACCAAATATAAAGTAATTGTAAGCGAAATGGAATTATTTTTATACATATATATATATCTTTAATACGTTAGTAATAAATATATATAGAATTTTTCATATTTTTCTAGGTTAAATAAATCCAACAGAATTGTTTTGAGCAGAAAATTTAAGTTACACGATTGATCTGCTTTTTACAACCTTTTGAAATAGACCAAATAACAATTATGACAGAAAAAATTAAATCACTTTTTCACAAGGCAAAATTGGATGTGAAATTTATGAATGCTGGAAAAGGACACAAGTAATGTTTATCATAATACATTCTAATTAACTATTTGATTTTAACATAAAGGATAGAAATTTTCAGTAGTTTTTTTAATTGTCATTTGAGATACTAGTAAATCTTATGTTTTAAATTTCAAATATATCTCAATACTAAGCTAATTATCATTAATATATTATATCTTTCATAACGCAAAATTATTTTATGTAGATTGACAGAATCAACTAGCAATGATGGATCTACTTCTGTAGTAGAGCCAAGAAAAAGAGTGGAACCTACAAAAGAAGCTAAAGTAGCTGGTCAAGCAGCTTTGGCAAGACTGGAAGCAAAAGAATCTAACACAAAAAGATTTAACACGTATGTTTTTCATAAAAATAATAGTTTTTATTTATAATTTTAAATATAATAACATATTTAATAATATATTATTCATAGATCATATGCAGCTATTAAAGCACAAGTGAAACGAGAATTAGAACAAAAAAGAAAAGCACAACAAAATGTAGAGAAAGATTATGTGCAATCAGAAGAAAAAGCTGAAAATTCAGTTAAGGATAATTCTTTGTTAGCTGTTACCAATGTATACTATCGTTGTTCATATTTATCTGATGAAATATTATCACAAGATGAATGGAAAGTAAAAATAAAAGAATTTTTATATGAACAATTGAAAGGAGAAGATATGGGTTTAATATCATGTTTAATTATACAAAATTGCAATAGTAAAAAGAATAGAATTGATGCTTGTGTTGAAACACTTGGAAAATATCTAGAAAATATTATAAATAATCCAGAGGAAGAAAAGTATCAGAAGATTAGGATGCAAAATAGAATATTTCAAGTAATACTTTTGTTTCTTTAAATAGATTTATTTAAGAAGAAAATAATTTATATAAACTTTTTATTAATATTTTAAAGGATAAAGTGGCCCCTATTGAAGGTGCATTAGAGTTTTTAAATGCTGCTGGTTTTCATCAGAAGAAGTTATTGAATAATGATAAGGAGGATGATTTCTTAATTCGTAATGCAGATAATTGTGATATTGAAAACATTACCATGTTATTGGAAGCATTGAAAACTGCACAGCCCATTCCACTGGAACTAGACAGAAATCTTCAAGTATTGTTACCTATGCAAGCAAACAAGAGAACTGAATTGCCATCGAGCTTTTTCAATTTAACTGCTGAAGATATAGAGAAAGAACAACAACTTCGGTAATTATATATACGTACTGTATGCATTAATACATACAGATTAAATATAATATGACTTCATTAAATAAATTATGTTAAACATTTTTCCTTATCAATGTTAATAGAACTGAAGCAGTTGAAAGAGATCAGATGTTAAGAACAAAAGCCATGAGAGAAAGAGACGAAAAACAGAGACTCAGAAAATATAAATTTTCATTGATCCGTATAAAATTTCCAGATAATCTTATTTTACAAGGAACATTTTCTATACATGAAAGTTTTCAAAATGTTGTTAATTTTGTTAGTGAGAATTTGATAAATAATGAGAGACCTTTCAGCTTAAAAAAGCTTCCTCAAACAACATTTAGTGAAGATTCTTTTGATAAAACATTACTTGAATTAGAATTATTCCCTGCTGTAATATTGATGTTTTCCTGGAAAAGTAAATCAGAAGAAACAAGTCACAACGAATCTGTAGGATACTTAAAGGAACAGTTACTTTCTATCATACAACCTGCTTAAATTTGTATTATCTAATCTTTAAAAATTGTAATTATAAATACTGAAAAAGATAAATATAAGTATCATTATGCGGCTTACTTCTTTTAATATGGTAGAAACGATAAAAGGCGGTTGTAATACAAATATTCATTCCAAATTTTAATAGTTCATGCAATGAGAATAGAGTCCTGTATAATGCAGATGAAAGAAAGGTAAATGTTTCATATTTCCTTTTCTATCATATTTTTTCAATATTTGTAAGTAAAATTTATATGATTATTAATTCTAAGTGTCATTTTTTAAATGATAAAAGAATATTATCTAAAATCATTTTCAACAAAAAAAGCTTTACAGATAATAGTGTATATTATTAATTTTCTAAAATTAATAAATATTAAATGCTATTGATAATTTTAATTAAAATTTGAAAGCTCGAAATTTGTTTACTACAGTATATGGAGATCTGTATATTAAGAATTGATTGCATAAAAAAAGTACAAGATTCTACAATTTATTAGGATTCTTCCAGCATTTGTAAATATATTATATTTTATTTGGGTACACTATAAAGAAATTTCGTACTTAGTAAAATTGTGATAAATTTATTAATTTGGTACAATTTTGTATTTTCAATTTTAGATCATGAAATAGAAATAATGTGCTTTTTATATATATATATTGTAGCTTTACATGCTTTGTTATTTATGAAAATAAATTATGTTATTGTTGTAATACTAAAATAGATAACAAAAGTTATGGTTTAGCGTGTGTACATTAATCCTGCACGTTTGTGCATTTTGGCACTTCTGTTATATATTAATATTTAATATTTTATATATCAGTCTTTGTATATTTCTTATAAGTTTAAAACTTACTATCACTGTCTAAAGTGTTACAGAAAAGTAAATACACATATGTTAAATAACTTATGATGTATAGTGTATCCCATTCATTCAAGTAATTTATAAAACAAAATTAGTCAGGAACAAAAAGTAATACTAGTTATGCATATATGTAATTATAACATTGTAAAAACAAAATAAACGAATATCCAATAAATAGAAACGAATTTGTTTTTCATCACCGGAAAACTGTTAGTTTAACGACTATTGCAAAATGTTATAATGTTGATGAAATGTTCCCTCTTAAAACATTTCAGTAGTAAAAAGAAGAAAAATGAAAAAAGGTTGAAACTTTATCGCGTCTCTTGAGTTGTGTCATTAGATGTATGATTTTTCGTTTCAACAGGTAAAGCAAGAGTAGCTATTGCAGCACATAATGCTGTTGCAGCATAAATTGCCATTGCTCCAGTAATAGACCATTGAAGAAATACTTGTGCTATGTATGGTGTAACCATTGCACCAATTCTAGCCATTGCACTACAAGTACTAACACCGATACTACGTAAATGAGTCGGATACACTTCTGGAGTGTACACATATGCAGCTTGAAACACGCCGGCAATTAAACCTCTAGCTAGAAAAATTGCTAGTGTTAATGCTGCTCTGTTTAATAGACAAGCTCTACCTAAGAAACAGATTAACATAGCAAACATTATTAATTGGAACGCCATTGTCTTTCTTCTACCAATTTTTTCAATCGCAAAAATAGTGGAAAAAATTCCTGGAAATTCAGCTAACGTTGTCCAAAGAAGATCGATGTAATCACTCCTTTCTAAACGACAATCTAATTGACAAGTATCTTCCTTTTTGTTTTCCCACAAACTACATTGTTCAGATGATGTATGGAATAATTCTGTAGTCATTAATACAACACCATAATAACAAAATGCTGTACTCATCCTAAAATAACGCCATTACCATTATTTATATAATGTATCAAGATATAATATTTACCACATGTAGTATTTACCATACAAGCCAAAGCAAGGTAGATGTCCTACACATTTCCTTGCTTAATACATCTTTCAATTTGCCATGATTAATTTGATAAAAGCGATCCATAACTAATCTTCCTGGAGGTAAAGGTTTTTTATTTTCTCTTGCTACTCGTTCTAAAGTTGAAACAGCTTTATCCATTCTTCCGCTCGTTATATCAAATACTGTAGACTCTGGTAACCACTAACAAAAAGTATCAGGTAAAAAATGTCATTTAATACTTGTTATAAATGCTTGATTTTTAATATTTACTGGAGTAATAATAGCAAATACAAGAAGTGGTATTGTTGATAAAATGAGAAGCCATCTCCAACCAAAGGTTGGCATTATTACCAATGCTATTGCCACTTCAAAACAAGCTCCAAGTGCCCAAAAACACTATAAAAAATAATTACTTCATATGAGCAATGTAAATGTTTACATGAAATTTATTTATGAGTGAGTATGACTGAGTGAGTAGAACTTACATCTAACAAAATGACACATTTTGCTCTTTGTTTTGCAGGGAGAAATTCTGCATACAATGTTACTCTGAAATAATAACTGATGTTATTCATATCTGCCCTAAGAACATTAATACTTTTATTTATAGGACTTACCAAATACTTACGATTGTGGTACACAACCAATAGCAAAACCAACTAATCCCCTAAGTAATAAAATCCACAGAAAATTTGGTGCAAAAGCACTTAAAAGAGCATAATAAAGTAGCAATATTGCACATAAAGTTAAAGATTGTTTACTACCATATCTATCACTTAAATTACTCCAAAACGTAGAACTTAGCATCATACCAAGGAAAACAACCTGAAATAAATGCAATAATGTATTAGATAAAGATCATTGGAAAAATTTTATTACAAATGACTATATTATTGAACAATGGTTCTATTATACCGTGGTTGTTAAAGCTTGTTGATATCTAGTTATACCCCAATCACAATGTAAGGATGGACTTAAAATGCTTAATATTGTTATTTCCATACTATCTACCATCCAACAGAGACCGGTAAATAAAGATAACTTAACTTGAAATTTTCCAAATCCTAATGCATTGATAGCTTGAACAACAGTAAATGTATCTGCCAATGAAATTATCACAATATTAAGAGAAATATTAAATTTCAATAAAACAAATCGTTTGAGAAGTAAATTGTCAGTAGTTATTGTATATAATACTTGTATGTAATACATGTATTACATGTTTAATTATTTACTTATTCAAATTAAAAAAAAATACTACATATAATATTTACATATAATATATATATATGTATAAAATATTTCATATTATAACATATATAGGCTTAATACATGTAGGAGATTTAAAAAATCAACTTGTTAATTAGAGTTATGTTATAAAAGAGTATGTATCACATACTTTAATAAAATAAATTGTTAGTAACATTTTATTCATACCCAAGAAGAAACTGAATCATCTCAAGACCCATGCAAAGGAAAGCAATCCCATTTTAAAAAATCTGATGTTATATTTTCCATGCATAATAAGATATTTACATAACTTACAGTCACCCGCTCCTTTATAGATAAGTTTAAGCAGATTATCCTGTACATAAAAATTGTCAGTAATATTGTAAAGATACATTATAATAATTTACACATGTTACGATATAGATATTCTTAAAAAAATACTTTACCATCTGGAATAACTACAACAGAAGAAAGTTCCAAGGAGCGTTCAATACAATTTCCAAAATTTCTATTACATCTTGACACATTTCCTGAATTAACATTCAATTCCGAACCGCGTAATTCTCCTAATTCACGATAAGGTTCGTTAGACATTTGTGATGCATTAGACATGATCGTTTGTATATCATATACAAAATAATCAAATATTTAACTGTCACTAGTACAATTAATTGATTTACAGATTACTTCATTAATATTTCCTTAAAGATGAGATTATATTTGACAGTCTGTCAATTACACTAATTAAACAATCGTATACAGTATACACCACGGTCATATATCGCATACATTGTACCAAAGAGAAAATTTCCTCTCTCATTGTATATATATAAGTCTGGAAACTCCCATAGTGGGGACAAGACTCTTAATATGGAGAGGTGTGCTTTGCAAATCGGTCGTTGGTCGTGGGGATCTTGCAACTTATTTCAAATAACTAAAAAACATGTTCAATTCAATAAAATAAATATTTTTACATTAAAGAAACTTGACTTATTTAATTAAATATTTTAACACGAAATCCAAATTTTGTAATAAACTTAGATAAAATTTCCTAATCTGCACAGCAGGCCTGAATTCTTCGAACTCTTGTCTCTGATTATTTATAAAAAGAATTATGTTGATAACAAATTAGAATAATTGAAATATGTACAATATGATAGAATAATAAGTAATGTGGATATAGATGATGGTGCCATCATTGATAAATCTTAATAAAATAATGGTGGTAGGATATGAAAAAGTATTGCATGTTACATTTATTCACATAATCACAAAAAACAGTATCACATAAAATACTATATATATAGTTTAATACAATATGTATTTAGTTTAAATAAATTGTGAAACGTTATGAAAAGTAAATTAGTTCATATTTTTTATCTTCAGTGTATATAGTTATTGTTTTTACCGAAAGATGGCCTTAAATGCAAAAGCTGTAAAAGTTTAATAAATCGATTGCAGTGTTATGGCTATTGGTCGATTTTTAAAACACCTCATAATATCACGAGCCTTACTCCCGTTATGAGAGTTTCTATATCTGTATATACAACCGTGCCTATCAGTGTCGTCTGTCGCCTCTTCTTTCCTTTGTTATACTTTTGAAAGCTTTACTACGGCTATACCATAAACGATAATCTTATAATATGACGACATTTGTTGATAATGAGATTTTACGATTATAAACGCTACAACGTATTAAGTTATGAAAGGATTCATGTTATGTCGATGTATGGTAATGAACAATTAAGATCCAACCTCATTTCTAGTTTCTCTAATAATCTATAGTAGTCTATAACAAAATACATAATATATGTTATTTGATAAAATAAATTTCATTATGAATTTGAAAAAATATTTTTCGAAATATAAATTAATTTTATGAATTACTAAAGAAAATCTTAAAAATTTTAAATACTTTTATAATTAGTTTTACTAAAGGGAAAAAAAAGACGCAAATTATATCATAGATTAATAACGCAGTTTGCCGTTACAGTTTGATGACGTAGTGCGATGATTATCGTTCATGAACAGAAAATACATACATACGTATATGTATGTACATATTTACATATGTAAGTATGTTGAATGAACTAGATAGATATTTTAATATTCTCCTTTTTGTAAATTTTTACTATCCTTCTTCTTATGCAATAAATTAAAATGGATTAAATAAGATTAGTGAGATTTCATTAATTCTATTAATATATCGAAACCAATGTTATTTACTATAATGTAACAATTCTTATTGTTATTAATCTTTCTATTGAATTCATCCATAATATATATATAAATTCATTCATAATATAAATTAATATCGTATAAATTAACCTTTTTCCGGTTCTTGTAAAAGTTAGCTAGAATATTCTATAACTAAAAAGGCGAGGTTTTGATCGATTAAATACAGATACAAGATTACTTTAAGTATGATTCACATTGATCGCATGCATAAATATATTTAGCGGGATGTATACATCTTCGATATAAAACATATCAAAAAGTATACTTTCGTAAAAATGGCTTTAATAAGCAATAAAGAGTACATTTGAAAATGTCTCGATCAAATAACACACATATATTAACATACAGTAGCAACTATACAGCGTATTGGACGAGTATATATAGCATGACTACACGGGAACGTACTGGAAGATTCTACAATTCGCGAACTCTACCGCAATGCTTACCGTCATTGATTGCATGCACTGTGCTTTGTCACATGGGCTGCGTTCATTTCCAAGAAAAGTTTCAAGAAAATTCTACAAATTATATAATTCAAACGATACCTCAGAAAATAAGAATAAAATGAGAATATCGCTTTTATCTAATAATTACTATGATTAAAAGAATAAATATGTTCAGCTTTATTGATATCGATGAACAAGTTTTTAACATTCTATGATCTTTTCATACGTTTATACATGGTTTATGATATACATATATCTCTCTTAAATAAAATGATACTTAGTACAGGAAATCTAAAAGCTTATAAAGTATCGTAAAATATTCCATATTCTTTTTTATTATCTTTATTATTATCATTTACGTGTATTCTTAGAAGCCAAATGTTAGCTGTAACAAATTATACGTTATGAATACATAATTCACTGCTTTTATTACCATGAAATATAATAAATTTAATATGTCAATTTGTTTAAAAAATTGATTATTTAGTCAAAATATGAATAATTTTCAAATAAATGAAAATAAGTTGTGAAATATAAATGACTTTCTTTTTAATGTAACCTTGTGATATTTTCATGGTTATTTAAAGCTTATGATGTTTATATGTATACATATATATGTATATATACAAACTCATAAGCAGATACATTGTTCATGCGTCACAATTGGTATAAGAATATGTATGTGTTACATGTTCATTATACATGTAATACAGATTTTCAAGTATATACATAAATGGAAATCGAGAAATGTTTGTTATATTGAATCAATATATCGATGTGACAGCAAAGAAATATAATAATACAATAGATGTAAAATTCTAGAATAGTCTATTTGTCCGATTTTATGCTACATTAATCATTAATTAATGGCTATTATTAATTTGACAATGAATTAAATTTATAATGTAGCATAATTTTATTTTAATTTAAGAACGAATATGATAGAATATATGTATATTTCTTACGATTTTTTTATCAAATTCATTGTTATTATGTCATTGTGATGATGCAGCATTATTATTCATTGAAATTGACGTCTTTTAACGTTGACATATGTACATTATGTATGTACATACATACATATATATTCTATAAATAATTGTTATTAGAGATATGTTACTGTACAAAGTGAATACGCATTGTATTTAAATTGTATGTAATATAATGTAATATAATGTTCATTGTCTGTAATATCAGCTTATTTTCATACATATGTCAAAAGTGACACGGTCATGAAATGAACACATAATCTATAAAGGTTACACAATTGTCACAGAAATTGAGGAATCTTAAAACAAAGCAAACCACAACCATGCATGGATATAAACTTCACATATACTTGTGTGTGTAACTACACACTTTCTAGAACTAGTTACTAAATTTTTTCCAACTTCCTTGTACTCTACTTCCGTATTATCTGTTGTTCCAGCTGGAGATTGTTTAAAAAATTATTTCATTTATACTTTGATCGTTTAAAAAATAGTTACAAGAAATTAAAATAATTTTTGTGTTTTGTAAACTTCTTTCGAATCAATCAATAACCACATAAAATTCCACCATTGATATACGTAGTTCGTGGCGCGTATCCAGTAATGACGCAAGTCTAACAGAATCTGATTTCTGATTGGTTGATAGAAGGTGCTTGAATAGGAAGAACATTCCAGAAGCGTCCTCTGGGAAAGTAATATATACCGAAATGCGGATACGGGTTCTTCACTCACGTTGCGAATCGTCAAACGGAGAATCTCTTCACTGTCCTACGAAGCGAACTTTTACAAGCGAGTAAAGAAGAAAGGTGTGTGTACCCACTGTATCCGTATTTGCTTCTACAATATTTGACACTAATCTAATTGGAAAATCATTTCAACGTTTTGTTCATAAATTTAATTTCCATTTATATCTTGTACAGAAAAAGCAAAGATGGCCAAAGCACCTGCAGTTGGTATTGATCTCGGCACCACTTACTCCTGCGTTGGTGTATTCCAGCACGGGAAGGTGGAAATCATTGCCAATGATCAAGGAAATCGTACAACACCTAGCTATGTTGCATTCACCGAAACTGAACGGTTAATTGGTGATGCTGCCAAAAACCAAGTAGCCATGAACCCTAACAACACCATCTTCGGTAAGTCTATTTTATCAAATATTTTTCATATTACATCTCATGGATAGTCATAAAGCTTCCCTTTTACTGTGAAAAATTTATTCCGCATATGTTTTTGTATTTTTTGTTGATGAAATACAAATCATTTTTTGAAATCTTGAATGCATTTTTGTAAAATTCCATTATCTGGTAAACATTTTCTTCAAATTATTTATATCCATTGGAATTGAGATAGATTTATTAGTACGTGTGTAAAAATACAAAAACTAATTTATGGATCTTGTAATTAAGTGTTATGAAACATTTAGAGATTTTTTCGAATGAAAATTTTATAAAATTAATACTAATGAAAATTTCCATATTATGTGGATAAGATTCTTTTTTAACATTATTCAAGATGTATTTTTTTTACTACAGTTTCTGAATTAATTTTAAGCTAGTTTTTAACGGTATTAATTAATATTTTAATTTTTATGAATTGACTTCCAACATTTTTCTGAGTATTTGAATTATTATTGTAGTAACTTAATGGGAATGGTTGTAAAATGACAATGGATTGTTCGTTTTAATTAATGATAAAATAGCACTACTTTGAAATTTTATAAATTTGCGTGGAGAATTTTTAATATGGTAGACGATAAGAAGCTCGATCTATAATATGTAATGGATATGCGTTATGTACGCACGCGCAGGTGCAAAAATGTACGGGCATAACGGTTAGTGGTCGCCATTACGTTATCTTTGTTTCGGATTATTGTTTAATAAATATGATACTTTTATTGAATTAGAAATTCGAAATGTTACAAGATCTTTCTATTTATTTTATTAACGTGATAAATTATTTCAATAAAAATTTTTCACATAAAAGGTGATTTTTTTATTTTATAGAAGTCTTAAAAATAACGTTGGGGACCGGCTGCTCTGACAAGCATATAGCCTATATATAGACGAGCATATATAATACGAATTTCCGCGTGTTTTTGGATCGATTGAAAAGATTTAAACCGACTAATATTATATCTAATATATTGGTAACGTTTTCGTATTATTCAAGCATGTATTGTAAAAACACATTTATAATTTGTTTATAGCATCCATTGCCTTTTTTACTGTTCCATTTAACAGTAGTTAGTATTTTTATAAGATACCGCATGAAATATGTAAGACATGAATTCGCGTCTTCAGTCCTCACATTGTTAATATAATAAAAAATAGCACAAACGCTTACTACGTTAAAAATGTTGTTAAACGACATTGAAATTCTAGTCAAATTTTATATTCAAAACTTAAATTTTAAATTGAGAATACAAAGGATAAAGAAGTATTTAATTTTCTACTTATTTTCAGATGCCAAGCGTCTCATAGGCCGCCGTTTTGAGGATCCCACTGTTCAGGCTGATATGAAACATTGGCCCTTCACTGTTGTAAACGATGGTGGCAAACCCAAAATTCAAGTATATTACAAAGGAGAGACGAAGACTTTCTTCCCTGAAGAAGTGAGTTCAATGGTCCTGGTAAAGATGAAGGAAACTGCTGAGGCATACCTTGGCAAGAGTGTCAGCAATGCCGTGATCACTGTACCTGCTTACTTCAACGACTCGCAGCGTCAGGCAACCAAGGACGCTGGCACCATCTCGGGTTTGAATGTTTTACGTATCATCAACGAACCCACCGCTGCCGCCATTGCTTACGGCTTGGATAAAAAAACTACCACCGAGCGCAACGTCCTAATCTTTGACCTTGGTGGTGGCACCTTTGATGTCTCAATTTTGACCATCGAAGATGGCATTTTTGAGGTCAAGTCAACAGCAGGAGACACTCATCTTGGCGGCGAAGATTTCGACAATCGTATGGTCAATCACTTTGTTCAAGAATTCAAACGCAAATACAAGAAAGATCTGACTGCAAATAAACGTGCTCTTCGTCGTTTGAGGACAGCTTGCGAACGTGCGAAACGCACTTTGTCTTCGTCTACTCAAGCTAGTATCGAAATTGATTCGCTCTATGAGGGAATTGACTTTTATACCTCAATCACCAGAGCTCGATTTGAAGAGCTTTGTGCTGATCTCTTCAGAGGAACACTCGAGCCAGTGGAAAAGTCATTACGCGATGCCAAAATGGATAAAGCTCAGATTCACGATATCGTTTTGGTTGGTGGATCCACGCGTATTCCTAAGATCCAAAAGTTACTGCAGGACTTCTTTAATGGGAAAGAATTGAACAAGTCTATCAACCCTGATGAAGCTGTAGCTTATGGAGCTGCTGTACAAGCTGCTATTCTACATGGTGACAAGTCTGAAGAAGTACAAGATCTACTGCTTCTTGATGTAACACCTCTATCTCTTGGTATCGAAACTGCTGGTGGTGTTATGACTGCCCTTATCAAGAGAAATACTACTATTCCAACAAAACAGACTCAAACCTTCACTACATATGCTGATAATCAACCAGGAGTATTGATTCAAGTTTATGAAGGTGAACGTGCTATGACGAAGGATAACAACTTATTAGGTAAATTTGAGCTCAGTGGTATTCCACCAGCCCCTCGAGGAGTTCCTCAGATTGAAGTTACATTTGACATTGATGCCAATGGTATTCTGAATGTCTCTGCAGTGGATAAATCTACTGGGAAAGAGAACAAAATTACCATTACCAATGACAAAGGTCGTCTTAGCAAAGAAGACATTGAAAGAATGGTCAACGAAGCTGAAAAATATCGTAGTGAAGATGAGAAACAGAAAGAAACTATCGCTGCTAAGAATGGTCTTGAGTCTTACTGCTTTAACATGAAGAGCACAGTGGAAGATGAGAAACTCAAGGATAAAATCAGCGCCAGTGACAAGCAAGTTGTATTGGATAAATGCAACGATATCATTAAGTGGCTCGATGCCAATCAATTGGCTGATAAAGAAGAATATGAACATAAACAAAAAGAATTAGAGGCTATATGTAATCCTATTGTTACAAAGTTGTATCAGGGTACTGGAGGAATGCCTGGTGGAATGCCTGGAGGTTTCCCAGGAGCAGGAGGTGGTGCTCCTGGTGGTGGTGCATCTGGTCCTACTATCGAAGAAGTCGACTAAATTGTTACTCACTTGCCACTGCCTTCTCCATGATTTATTCCTATGCAGAGGATAACATCAATTCGAAGAACATAGAATTTCACAGCTACGGTCTTTCGTTCCCGAGTATTAATTTATCTAGGTTTCAGTTTTCTCTTCTACTACGTCGTAAAAATTATTTTAGATTTATTTATTCTGTTTTTGTAAACTAGCCAAATAATTTTCAATAGATTACAATGCGTAAAAAATAACTTTATTGTACTTGTAATCCGATAATGTCGATAGCAGATCAGTTGTGATGATTTTCTATGTTCAAAAAAACCATGAAAATATAAAACAATCCCTGAAACTTACATAATTGTTTATAATTTATTACCTTTTTTTTTTATTATCAATTATTGTTTACCTGGAATTGTTCTCAATTAATTGCGCCACTTTTGCTGCTTTTATAAAGTACAGTATATAATAAAATACACCAATTTAGTGGTGTTAAAATAAATTAAAAAGTTAACTATCAGTTATGATTAAATAAAGTTATAATCAAACGATACCCCATACTGTAAAAAAATATTAAAATGAATTATGAATTTTTAATTTTACCTATATTTTTTGCATGAACTACAAAAGATAATTGTTATATACTTTTAATTTGATGTTTTGTATAAACAATATATGAAATCGTTAAAATCATTACCGCAAAATATAATTGACCACTTAAGTAATTTTTAGACTTCTGTGTTCTTGAAATAGTAAATATTAATCTGCATTGCTTGGAAAATTGCGCGGTAGACAGCGTATAGGTTGGCTTGTCCATTGCGGTGAGAAACGTATAGCTCGTTGTGGCGCGCGCGGTTGGCTAAGTATTAAAATGAACTTGAGTCATGATATTTTAAATACATTGGAATATCCAATTCCATAGAATGTCACTTATATGGCTGTCGTCCTACCTCAATATTAAATATATTTTGTAGTAGCAAACAATTTTATAGTCCATCCCAAAAACGATATTTTATTTTAAGTAATTTAAAAACTCAACATTTCGTACATCTAAAGTTGGTGAGAAGAATAAAACCGGTAGTAACAATTAAATTTTATGAAGTTTTTCGTAATTCTTTAGTCTTTTGTACAAAAAAAAGGAGACAAATTGTATAGTAAAATATAAAGAAGGAGAATACAGAGAAGCATGAAAAATTAAAATGTAAATGAGTTCAAAAAGGTAAAAATTATTTAGCTGCAGTTATTGAGCAAATAAGTTCACTTCTATTCAAAAATTTTAAAGAGGTCGTGGAAAGTTTTTTTGAAACTTAAATTTGTTCTATATGTATATGTACATAGCATACACATTAACTTTACAGCCAAATAAATGATTCAACCATCATGTTCTTTATAGAATAAGAAATAGGAAGAGTTTCTTGTTTATCTTTTTATCAATT